GATAAGCATTGAATTGCTGAACTGCTAACTGCAAGGCTGGCAGTTCAAACTCATCAGCCAATACTTGGAAACCCTATGCAAGGTTGCTAAGAGTTGGAAATGTCTTGACAGCACTTAATATATACATACATACATATATATGTATATGAGTATGTATATGAACTTTTTGAAACCTCCTCAAACCTTCTCATACATGATACTGTGGGTTAATGTGCTGGACTGCAAGGTCAGTTTGAACCGCAGGGTCAGCAGTTCAAATTCACCAGCTGCTCCTTGAAAACCCGATACAGGGTTGCTATGGGTCGGAACTGATTCAACAGCAATTGACAACTAACAACAACATCATATGAGAATCAAGGAACATTATTCAGAGCCATACAATCTTATTCTACTGAAAATTCTAACAAATACAATTATCATTTTTTCAAATACAAGTTTGAAAGCAAAGATTACAAGAGGAAAAGAGTTTGCTATAGGTACACATACTTCAGAAATAAAAACTTTAAAATTAAAAAAAAAATGCATACATAATCACAAGGTAAATTATCCACAACTGTTTATTGACAGGTACAAATTATTTTCAGAAAATAAAATCAATAAAGAATCTTCCTTAATGTTCCAAACACCTACCACAAAAAAGAAAACCATTTTAAAACTTTCTTAAAATTAATTAAAAAAAAAAACAATATTAGCCTGGTTAAAAGTAGCAATTGTTAAAAGATGGCTGAAATATGCCAACATAGCATCGGTTATCAGGAATCCAGATATAGTTAATAGTCAAAGGCAAACTATGTGCATTTTAACGATAGGATGAATGTAAAGCTGATGTTCTCCCATGTAAACTATCACCCAATTCACAATAAAAACTTAAAAAAAAAAGACACTAAAGAGACATGACACTAAATGTAATGTAGTCTCTGGGACTGGATCCTGGAGTAGAAAACGTATTCTATGACAAACTGAATAAAGCAGCTCTGGTAGAGTAGTGGTTATGAATTGGGCTGTGAATCTCAGGGTCAGCAGTTCGAAACTACCAGCTGTTCCGCGGGAGAAAGATGAGGGTTCCTGTTCCCATAAAGATTTACAGCCTCGGAAACCCTGTACAGGGTCGCTATGAGTTGGAACCGACTCCATGGCACATAACAACAACAACATGGAGTCCTGGTGTGATGCTGTGGGTTTGTGTGCTGGACTGGAAAGTTGGTTTGAACTGTGGGCTTGGCAGTTCAAGCTCACTAGCCACTCCTCAAAAACCCTACACAGGGTCACTGTGCATCAGAACTGATTCGACGCCACTTAACAACAATGTGGTTACTAAGAACTCCCTGGCATGATATTGTAGGGTCAGCGCTGGTCTGCGAACTGCAAGGTCAATGGTTCAAGCATACTGGTTGCTCCTTGGAATCCCTATGCAGGGTTGCTGTGGATCAGAACTGACTCAATGGCACTTAACAACAACAACATGATTAACAATAATGAATCATTATTTGTTCATTATTCAGAACAAATATGCCATGTTAAAACACTAATAGATATTAATAGGGTTAACTGAATGTGAGCTATATAAGAACTTCTGTACTATTTTCTTGTTGAGTGCCACTGAGTCGGTTCCAACCCATGGCGACCCTGTGTGGGGTTTCCATGGAGCAGCTGGTGAGCTTGAATCGCTGACACTGTAGTTCAAACAGCTTTGCAGTCTGGTGCATTGACTCACAGTGCCACACCAGGGCTCTGTACTCTAAGTTTATATTAATTCTACAAATCTAAAACTGTTGCAAATATAAAAATGTTTAAAGGGTATAAGCAGTCATTTCCAAATATTGGAAGACTTCTTAGATGAAAGAAGTTAGCTTCTTTCTTCACTGCAGTTTCCTACCCTAATTCTACCCTAGCGTCTGGTCATTCAGATACTGACTCAAAGTGTGGAAGAGTAACAACAACAACAACAAAAGAATATGATATACATTTGGAAAGCCAAACCCACATGGTAGTGAAATGCCCAAGGAATTCAAGGAACGTTTTGATCACTGACTAGCAGTGATACTGTAATATAACTGAAGTACCACAATGGTGTTACAGTAGTGCCTAGGGAATGTGGGCTGGCCACCTGGTTTTGTAAATAAAGTTATATTGTTGTTGTTGTTAAGTGCCGTTGAGTCGGTTCCGACCCATAGCGACCCTGTACAGGGTTTCTGAGGGTGTAAATCTTTACGGGAGTAGAAAGCCTCATCTTTCTCCCGCGGAGCAGCTGGTAGTTTCAAACTGCTGACCTTAAGGTTCGCAGCCCGATTCGTAACCACTACGCTACCAGAGCTCTAGGAAAAAAAAAAGGTTTTTTTTTTTTTTATAACATACTAAGTTTAATTACAAGAGGATGCTTTTATAAGCATCTAATCAAGGAGTTCTGGTAGCATAGTGGTTACAAGTTGGACTGCTAACCTCAAGGTCAACAGTTCGAAACTACCAGCCGTCCCGCGGGAGAAAGATGGGGCTTTCTGCTCCCGTAAAGATTTACAGCTTCTGAAACCCTATACAGGGTTACTAAGAGTTGGAACCAACTCCATGGCACACCATCACCGCCAATCAATAATGTGACCTCACTGATTACTTTGGGTCATTATTTTCTCATAGTTGTGTCTTTGAATTCCATGTTCCAAATAATATTATGGACTCATCCTCAACAAAGATCAATACTATTAAATTGGTCTTAAGGAGCTCTGGTAGCATAGTGGTTACAAATTGGGCTGCTAACCTCAAGGTCAACAGTTCGAAACTACCAGCCGTCCCGTGGGAGAAAGATGAGACATTCTGCTCCCGTGAAGATTTACCGCCTCAGAAACCTTGTGCAGGGTCGCTGTGAGTTGGAACTAACTCCACAGTACTTAACAACATCAATAATTAAAGTGGTCTTTAAATGCATACGCTATAAATATACCTCTTGACACTAGGCAACATCACTTGACACTCAATTTCTTGTAGCAACAGGCTGTGTGACAACTTTTCAAAGTACTTTAAACAAAGCAATACATGAAGCCCTCTCACGTTTCACATCAACACTCATTAGCTACTTTTATCACAGTTCTAGTCTTCTAAAAACTTCACCTATTTCATAATCATTTCAATGGAAGACACTAAGATGTAAACTGACCTAAAGTTAAACTAAGTTTATGATTTAATATAGAATATCTACTAAATCCCTGAATCTTACATCTTTAAACGTGTAGCAAAAAAATACACTATATTTAACAAGTACTGAAGTCAGAATAGTTTGGGTTTCAGCTTAAGTATTTTAAATAGCAGGAAAACAAATCAGTGTTTCTTTACACACTGAAATATTAAAATAATACTGATGTGATAAATCAAATAAATGGAACTGGGCATTTCACATTTGTCAGACACAGTAAAAGCTAAATGAAATTAAAACACATACAAGCATTTCAAATATTCCATCCAATTATCAGACAGCATTATGATATCAAAGATTAAGATTATGGTACTTTAGAAAACATAGGTTAAATATGCTCCATGTCAAAACCATCTGAATAATTTAAGCAGTTAAGCGCACCTGGTAGTCCCACCCTTCCTCCCCCCCCAGCCCTCCCCCCAAGTGAAACAAAAACAAAAACTACCTCCTTACACTCACCCTTGCTCTCTAGAAACATGGGGTCACTGATTGAAGCCCAACAAATGTGTCTTGGAGACAGGGTTTCTCAAACGACAGGTTGTAACCCGAAAACCAATTCAGCCATCAATTTTTATTTCAGTCAGCTTTTTAAAAAATAAAATATCAGAATGCATCACATTTAATAAAGGCATAAACTATTTTGTGAAACTTTGAAATCATGTGTAGGGATGTACTAGATCATGATGAAAAATGCCCTTCTTACTATGACGAATAAAAAGGCAAAGGCCAAACATTGTGGTTAGTCTGAGTACTTTCATTACAGTCTCTGCTCAAGAAGTACCCTTGGAAACCAACTTAAGGGCCCCGTGAAAGGATAGGAGTCCTGGTGTAGCACTGTAGGATAAGCACTGCACTGCTAACCACAAGGTTGGAAACCCTGTATAGGGTCGCTACCAATCAGAACTGACTTGATGGCACCTAACACCACAGTATTGGGGCATGCCCTGCCTTGCTAAGCTCTCTGAAACCTAGCAACCTTCAGAGAGGAGCTCCTCCTCCTTCACAGACTGTAAACAGTCCAACTCTCGCAATTTAACTTTTCTAAAGCTACAATTTCTAGAATCAGTGTGTCTCAAGAAGAGGCAGTATTATTAAGTCTTCTCTTTTCACCAATTCTCACAATGTCATCATAGACTAGGGCTTAGAAGACTTGTGCTCATTCTCAACAGAGAAGCTCCACAAAGATCTTTATACTCCCCTCAAAGATCCCAGGACACAGTACTCTCCTCCTATCTTATTCCAACTCCCTCCTTGTTGTTGTTGTTGTTGCTAACTCCCTCCTTGGAATCTCCCAATTTGGGGCAAATCTATTTTCCCAAAAGCCCTTATTCAACTACCGCATCCTTTGGAAGAAGCTGGCCTAGCGTCTTATTAGCCTAGGAAGGTCCCCCTTCCCTCCTGGACCTACCCAGCCTCCCTGGAGACACTTCCCCACGGAGGATGCAGTGGTTCCCAGTTTCCAGTTCTCTGGCAGCCCAGCCCAGGACTGGCCTCCATCTCAGCCAGCGGGCATCATCCCCGCCCCCACGCACCAGCCTCCAGCCCCGGGACCAGCCTCCCTCTTCCATCCCAGGGACCTCCCGCTCTGCTCCCGTCCGAGAACAAGCCCAGGCCAGGCCCTGTCTTCCCACAAGTCCTAGGGCAGGTTCCCCATCCCTGCAGCTACCCTAGCTGGCACCCTTGCGCTCAGACCTTCCCCCTGAGCCTCTTCACACAGCACCTGAGCAGGAGCGGCCTCCCCGTCTCAGACCCGGAGGGGAGCGCCTCGGGCCTCGAGAAGCCGGCAGAGGCGCCCCCGGGCCAGGGCTCCACTCACCCCTCAGCCCGGGAGGCGGGGGAGCTGCTGCCGAGGCTCCTCCGGCTGTGTCTCTCCTCCCCCCTCCCGGCCTCCGCCGTCGCCGCCACTCAGCCTCGGGCCTGGTCCCGGCCAGCCCTGGACTGGTTCCGATTCACCACGTCCCCCAATCTGGCCGCAGAAGCCCAGTGTCCTACATTGACCCGGAAGCAGCTCTCATGGACCAACAACAACACGTGACCCTGCCGCACGTGTCACGTCCGCTGCGTGAATGGGCGGGGTCACTGGAGGAGCAGGTCATCGCCAACCTGGGGTTACCATGGCAACGGGATGTCTACTGTTCTGATCCTCACTAGAAACAAGCTGTGTCTCCTGCTGTCCTCTGGCAGGGTCATCTGAAGTGTCACCTATGTGCAAAGGAAGCGTACAGATTGACACCTCAGCGTGAAATAGGTGCATGTCACAGAGTTTGGGGTGACTGAGAGATGCTGCCCTACAGAAAGAAGCACTGGGCTGAACTTCTCCAGGCACACCTGGAATCTTGTCCTGACTCTCACTGATTTGTTGTGTCACCCTGATCAGAGACACTTTTTGTCTCCAGCTCCAGCATCCTCATCGGCAAAATGAATAAACTACATGAGGTGAACTGTTATTTATTTGATAATGGTAGTTTTGTATCAGGATATGGTAGCACTCTGCCCATTTTTATATCCCTTCACAGAGCTTGTGGCATCATAAGGTTTCTCTACTCGCACACCAATGTAATAATGGTTGGTGTTAATTGCTGCCGAGTTGACTTTGACTCACGGTGACCTTATTTTAAAACGGAAGGAAATGTATCCAGGTCCTGTGTCATCTTCACAATTCCTGATATGTCCATTATTGTGGCTATTGTGTTGTTGTTAAGTGCCGTGGTATCGGTTCCATCCCATAGAGACCCGTATGCATAACAGAATGTAGCAATGTCTGGTCCTGCGCAATCCTCACAATTGCTGCTCCGTTTGAGTTCATTGCTGCTGCCACTGTGTCAATCCATCTGTCTCTTTTCCCTCTGACCCTCCACTTTAACATTCATCATGTCCTTCTCCAGGGATTGGTCCTTCCTGATAATATGCCCAAAGTATGAGCTCTAAGGAGCATTCTAATTGTACTTCCAACATAGACTTGTTTGTTCTGGCAGTCCATGTTGTAGTTAAGTGCCATCGAATTGGTTCTGACTCATAGTGACCCTGTATAGGGTTTATGAGAAGCAGTTGGTGAGCTTGAACTACTGACCTTGCAATTCAAACCAACTTTACAGTCCAACACATTAACCCACAGCGCCACATCAGGACTCCTTGGTACACCAGGCAGTCTATGGTACCTTTAATACCCTTCTCCAGTACCATAACTCAAATGCATCAATTCTTCATTGGTCTTCCTTATTCATCACCCAACTTTCACATGCCTATGAGGCTGTTGAAAACACCATGGCTTGGGTCAAGCACCTTCCAATTAAAGAGTGCATCTTCCAGCACCATTGTTTTTAAATGCCATCGAGTCAGTTCCAACTCAGCAATCCTGTATAGAGTTTCCAAGGAATGACTAGTGGTTGGCTGTCCAGTGCTTATACAGCACCACACTAGGACCATGTGGAGCCCTGATCAGAGACACTTTTTGTGGGCTGTTATTTAATAATGATACTTTTGCATTAGGATATGATAGCACTATATAGGACAAGATTCTGTGGTGAACCTTAAGATTTTCATTGACTAATTTTCAGAAGCAGATCACCAGACCTTCTTCCTATTCCTTCTTAGTCTGGGTACTCCACTGAAACCTGTCCATCATAGGTGACCCTGCTGGTATTTAAATTATCCATTGTATAACTTCCAGTACCACAGTGACATGCAACCCACAATACAACAAACTGACAGACATTCTGGATGTAATAATGGTGGTTATGTGCTACCAAGTCAGTTCCGACTCATAGTGACCTGTATAGAGTTTCCAAAGCTATAAATCTTTATAGCTAATTGGAGTCCTGGTGTGGTGCTGTAGGTTAATGTGCTGGACTTCAAAGTCAGTCTGAACCACAAAATTGATGGTTCAAGCTCACCAGCCGCTCCTCAGAAACCCTATACAGGGTCGCTATGAGTGGGACTGACTCAACAGCACTTAACAACAAGAAATAGCTAATTAAATTTAAAATGCAGTTCTTCAGTGAACTGTGTGCATAAATATATGCCAGTGGCATCAAAATTACAAGCAAAGATAGGATTGCTGGAACTAGGACTCCACTCTCCAATCCACTTGAGTCATACACACAAGAGCCTTATACAATGCTGGTAATTGAAAGCTATTCTTGGTATCTATAGAAGGTAAACTATAAACAAGAACAGATTACTTTTAAAAAGTAGACAGGCTCCAATAGGAACAGATTGGATTTGAGCCATGTGGTGTGTGTTGGGGAGGGGTTGAAAAAGTTATGCAGTACATGCTCATCTACATATTGGTACCTAGAAAATCCTTTAGGAAAGATCTTCTCCACCCCTATGAGCACCCCACTTAGTATCATGGGGGAGGAACTCTCTTTTATCTAAAAGGGGACTTTTTCACCCTTCCCAAATTACCCATGTTCATCTCTGCGTCAGTGGGTGAGCACATTCTGGATCAGGTGTCGGTAGGTGTCTCTCTCTCAGCAGCTGGGTCATCATCTCAGTAAGACGTAGTCTCTGTCTTTGTCCCTCTCTCAGACATTTCTTGACTGGGTCTGGCCTCTTATGTTTGTTGGTCCAGCTCTCAGCCAACAATTTTAAAACAACAATGGGCCAATGCTAGGGTTAGATTGGCATGCAACAGCTCTGGAGACAAAATAATTTTACAGGCAACCCTGAACGATGTGTGCCTGACTGAAGGTACCCTTACTCCATTCTGTGAGTTAACTCCCCCCAGTGCCACTCTTAGTCAGTGCCACTGTCGGGAAGCACATGGCTGCTGCCTTTTTTCTGCCACCCAGCTCTGTCCTATTGCCACTGTTTCTCTTGGTCTTCAGTATTACCAGTTCAGTGTTTCAGTCCTTGACCTATATTGCAGTTCTTCAAGAAGACCAGGAAATTCAAGGGGTTGGACAACTGTGTCCAAGGAACAGGCTCTTCTCCTGGCTCCTGGTTTTCTTCCATCAAGAAAATGCATGTGAGCCTCCACAGACATTTTTATAAGTCCCCCACCCATAAGGAGACATGGTAGTGTAGTGGATTATGAGCTGGATTGCTAACAGCAAGGTCAGCAGTTCGAATCTACCAGTTGCTCAAAGGGAGAAAGATGAGGTTTTCTGCTTCCATAAAGATTTACAACCTCAGAAACCCTATACAGGGTTGCTATGAATTGGAACCAGCACCAACCAGGTTGGCCCCAAGCCAATCTTGGTAAAGGTCAACTACTGGTGGTTGGAGGAAGACAGCCAATTATGTAAAGGTGGGTCATAAATTACCAATACTTTCAAACTGCTTATATTATAGCAAACCAATCAATTCCTTTGCAGATTGTTTGTGGGCCAATCAACCATTTTGGGAGCAATACAAACCAAGGTCAGAAAGTCCACATAAAAGAAACCCTAATGCACCACACTCAGTCACTTGGCACTAACCACATTTCAAATGCATAATAGTCATATGTGACTAGTGGCTATCATATTGAACAGCACAAAGAGAGAAAAGTTTCATTGTCACAAGAGTATTTTCATCCCAGAAGGCTCTACTGAGCAGTATTTTCCGTATTCTCAATTCTTCAGTTATGATATGAGAGGGCTTCAAAAGGCTCATGGAAAATATTCATTATTTGCTTTTTTTTTTTTTCCTTCATTACCTTTTACTTTCATATTTTCACCAACTTTTTGATGCCCTCTCATGTTCTAGGGGATTTTCTTCTACTATGCCTTTACTATAAACATTTGTTTTTCACCTCCTTGAAACTGACAATTATACAGAATCTTTATTTTGTTTTTATCCTTGACAAATATACAAGCCTTAGTGAAGTCAGGAATAAGGTCTATCTTGTTCACAATTTATTTCCCATTTCTACAGGACTGGCATATAGAAAGAGAGAGGGGAAGGTGAACTAAAGTGAGAGGAAGTAAAAAAAAGACAAATTTCTGGTCATTTTATCAGAAACTGTTGGTCATTTGACTGCTCTAGCCTATAAACAGCAATTTTATGGATTAAATCATATGGGTCAAACTAATAAGAAGGAAGAACTTTGAAAGAATTGGCCTTGCTTCACTCAATTCTAATGAGTTTCCTGGCACTAAAATGATGTATAAATAATTCCTGGATCAATTGGACTGGCTGAACAGTTCTGCTCTAAGATTCTAAGTCTATGTTCTTCCAAATGAGTATTTAATTTATGGTTGAGTACACCATAGGACATTCATAGCTACAGTCTGAGACTTTCTTATGTGCCTGGCACTGTTCAAGATATTTTACATAAATCAAATCATTTAATCCTTACAATGATTTCCTGAAGTAGGTTTGGTAAAATCAGATATATCGAGTAAGACTCAGATTAAGTAATACACACAACAATATAAAGCTGGTAAGTAGCAAAAGCAGATTTTATATTTAGATCTGTCTCTGGTAGCGTACTGGTTATGAATCGGGCTGCTAACCTCAAGGTCCACAGTTCAAAACTACTAGGTGTTCTATGAAAGAAAAATGAGGCTTTCTGCTCCCATAAAGATATGCAGCCTTGGAAACCCTGTGTAGGGTCCCTATGAGTTGGAACCGACTCCATGGTACTTAACAACAACATCAGACTCTAAATTCATAATAACGCTGTTGTGATACCTATAGTTCTATAAAGGAGTTTCACTAAGACATTTGCATGCACTTTTAATTCAACAGATGTTTATTTTATAATGGATACTAATGCCCGGTACTTAGTTAAGTAGTTTGGGGAAAACAAAGATGAGTAAATCATCATATGTACAGTGTAATTGGAAAGATAAATCATATGCATAAATAACTGTGATACAGAGAAAATAAAGGAATGCTAATTTTTAAAAGCGGATCAAAGAAGTCACTCTCTTCTTAGTGAAGGTTTCCCCCAAGTAGGCAAAAATATAAGGACAGAATTATATGAGAATTCAATGTGGACAACATCAATACACATATGGAAGCATAATGATCCAAAAAGTCATCAGTTCATTTGAAAGAATAAAGAT